TGGAGTTTTTTCAGGAAGATTCAAAAATCTTGATTTTTATGTGAATTACTCTGATTTTACACTGTTAGCTTGATTTAAAAAAAAAAAAAAAGCAGGCAAAACAAATTTGTCTGGGGCCTTATCTGACCCAGGGGTGATCAGTTTGTAAATCCCCAAACAATGGAAGCCCACTTACCCCATATTTGCATAACTATGGGGCCACTGTAATGAGTGGGACCCGACAAAGCTCAGCTGTGAAACAGCTACAAAAGAATCCAAGACTTCAAGAGAGTCTAACCTCCTTTGGCATGTCCTGTGCAGCCTCCCTGACCTGGCCTCCTGCTCTGCCTTTCCGTTACCCTGGCTCCCCACGCTGTCACATCTTAGGGGCTGCGAGTTCACAGGGCTGTCAGTTATCTAAGCCTCTCACCTTCCTTCAAGATCTGGCTCGAACTTCCCTTTCTCTGGTCAGCCTTCCTTTCCCTGATCTCTGCTTTCTCTCCTGCTTCCCCCGTGTTTTAGAGCAGTTATGGCATTGCCTCGATGTTTTCTTTACAGGTCTGTTTCCTCACCTGACCAAATCCCTAGAAGGCATTCATTGATCAATGTACCCCCATAGCCTCATAGGGTACGTGGCACTTTAAATGCAGGTGGAAGGAATGGGCCTCCAGCTTGAAAAATAATGAACAGAACATAGCTTTTCACATGCCAGAAAAACAGTAATTTTATTTTAAGAAAATAAGTTGAAACTTGGTGTTTAAGAGGAGAGAGAAAAACCCCTCTGCATACTGTCATTTTTTAAATGACCACATATTTGTGAAAAACAGTTGAAAAGAATAAGTTTTTATACTTCCTCAGCCTTGGACATAGCAGAGGCTTCTAAGAAGAGTTCTTGAACAGGAGAATGTCTAAACTGATCCGTCGCACTGCTTTTCTCCCAGACCTCAGAGGTTCCCAGGGCTCTTATAGTCGGGGATGTTTGCTGTCTCCGGTGGGGGGAACAGGGAATCAGCTTCTCCGAATGAAACAGCACTTCTTCAGAGGCGGAGGCCTTACTAGGGAGAGCGAGCAGCCACAGCCGAAAAGACCCTTTGCATAACCTACTCTTAAATTGAGGCTGAAACTCTAGAGGCAAACCAAACCCTAAGCGGTTACGTTTTCTCGACAAGGTCGCCCAGCCCTGTCAATCATTTCCTGCTTTCTCTCCCTCCCCAAAGCGCGCGTGCACACACACACGAGTTTCGGTGGACCGCTACCTTGACTTTGAGCTTGTCTCCTACCCGAAGTGGAGCACCTCGGGAAGCAGAGAGGTTGGCGTTTCATTCATAATACATGAACTCAAGACACTAAGGAGGCATGGACAAGAGCCTTTCAGCTCTGCTATTTAAAATCCCAGCGTTGCAGCTGAAAGGGAAAATGACCCGCGAGTGAACGCATTGGGGATGAAGTATTCACGATAGCGGGACTAGAGAGCGCGTCAGCGGCCCGCCCGCCGGCTATTTATACCGCGCCGATTATGCAATCCAGCTCCAGCCATTCATGCCCGGACTGGGACTCCGAGCGCCGGGGGGTGGGGGGGGGTGGGAGAGGGGCGGAGGGGGAGATCGCTCTCGGGCTCCGGGTCAGTTTCTAAGTTTGCATCATTCCCTTGATTACGAGAGAGCTTGGGTTTCCATTTCGGCCCGCGGGTCTAGGGGAAGGCAGCCGGGCTGCAAACTCGTTTGGCACACCCTGGCACACACGACTGCTTATTTAAACAGAATAATAAAGCCACCCCAGCGCCCCGGGCGCGGCCAAGCGGCGTGCAGGGCTGGGCTCGCGGCAGACCGGAAGGAACTGATAAAGCGGGAGCTAATGATACCCGCTCCCTCCCGGTCGGAAGTGTCCTCCGAGCGCCGGTCATTGAGAAATACCGAAGGGGCAGAATGGGGGTGAGGTGAGGACAGGCGGGGCGCAGCTGCGCGCGCCTGGCGGCGGGGGGGGGGGGGAGCCGCGGCGCCGCTGCAGTGGGAAGCTATTGCCGGCCGCGGCCGGGCGGCACAAACCTTACGGCACAGTGGAGTCCTCCCCTGATCACCCCGCACCCCCGGGACCCCCGCAGGAGAGGGGAATGATTATCACCAGCCCACCCCCGGGAGATCTACACTCTCCACCCTACCAGACCCCTAGGGGCGAGAATTGGGAGGACGCAGAGATGGGGCGAAGGACACGAAAGACAGCGGCTTGCTGAGAAGGAGAAAATGTCCGCTTCTCCCGGCGCCCGTGCGGGGAGGGAAGGGGCGGGGGCCGCGGCCCGCTTCCGAGTGAAACAAGACCTGCGGGTCTACTGAGCATGCCCGTCCCGCCGCCGCCGCCGAGGGTCGCTCCGGTTCCGGGCTCCGGGCTTTCCTGGCGGCCAACGGGGAGGATTCAGGAGGGGGTGCTCCCCCGCCCCGGACTCTAGATTGAGAGGCGGGTAAGTGGGGGTCCTGCTGGGGGCTCCGCTGGGTTAGCGTGAAGTTGTAAGCAGATCGACATTACTTTTGAAGCTGTACTATCACCCTTGATTTGATCGTGTTCAGAGCTGCCTGCTCCCTATTTTGCTGGTTGTGGGGGACAGATGAGGATACGACAATGACATTAAATTTAAGCCCTAAATCCGTGATACTCCCTATTCTCATGACAATCCAGTAGACTTTGATAATACCTTGATACTCAGATCAATAAACATCTGAGTTATTCGCCCAATAACGGCATTTGTCCTTGGAACTGTAGGAGTCACAGTAATTGGCAGGGGAAGGGGGGTGACCTGCTAGGAACATTTTCATCAAAAGATTCTTTTTGGGTAATGAACAAGGCAGAAGAGAACTGGAAGGTTTTCTTTAGAGGAACATAAAGGACCGGGAGTGGTGGGGGAGCATCTGTAATCCACCGGCTAGAGGGAAGAAAGGGTTGCCATTAATCTATTTGCCCTGTGTTTAGCACAGTGCCTTCACTCTATGGCCACTTAATCCTCCCAACAACCCTATGTTGTGGGGATCATCCTGACACTACAGACACCGAACCCGAAGCTCAGAGAACCTAAAGACATGCTGAAGCCTGGCACCAGGACATCCAAGTGGGGACTTGGTGACTCCTGAACCTTAGAAAGTTTCCCTTTACTCCTCTGGCTGCCCAGTCCCAGGGTTGGGCGAGTCATTCACTGCTATTAGCAGGGAGCTGGATGAATGGAGTTGTGATGACACAGATTCAGCTTGCCAATCTGCAGAAATTAATAATCACCTCACCTGCCACCTTGCCATTTGGGCACTTTGGAACTGGAGGGTGGAGCCAAAGAGATGACTATTGGGTGGATAATTTTGACATGGACAAAATAGCCATGTTCCTGGAAGTTCAGGAATAACTGAGTGGGAACTCTTTCAAACATGTTGAGAAGCAACAATGGCCAAAAGTGGGAACTGGGTAGTTGCCTTATCCTTATGGGGACTTAGACAACAACAAGATCTTGCTTCTTTGTTATCCTTGTTTATAAAGAAGCTAAAGAATTTATAAAAGCCTCACTCGGAGTCTCAGGACTGCTAGGGGAAAACCAGAACCCAGGTGTTCTCCCCTGTCTAATGCACTTTTCACCACCACACACCATCACTCAGCATCAAACGTGGGTGAACCCCAATCCATGTCCACAGAGACTATGGTTGTGATAAGCACGAAGCCTAGGGTAAACCACTAGTTTCTCCCTGACTCAAGGTGAAACTCTTACTATCTTTGGAGTACTTGTGGCTCTCCAAATGCATACGTATACCCTTTAGGTATACGACATTGGAGGCATATATTTAATCTTCTCTTAATTTGTTCAGTGGTTGCTATTAAAAGTCTCTGTCTAGTGTCTTGGCATATTCAGCATAGAAAAGTCTACTGCACTTGGACAGCAGGAAGGGGCAGGGACAGTATCTCTTGCTTCCTAGCAAGCCCCAGAAGAAGCTATCCAATGGCTATGGAATTTATGGGACACACTGCGAAGTAATAATATGGAGCCCCTTGTTCAAACACTGTAATGACTTTCAAGACGGCAACAACAGAGCATCATGCCAAGCAAAGATCCCAGTGCAACTGTGCATGTTGCCTGCCCATTGTCTAGACAGTGCTGCTTTGGAGAGCACCACCTAGGCCCACAGTCCCATGCCAAGGCAGGGGAAAAAAATTAAAGACAAAGGGGAGGAGGGAGTGGGCTTGAGGAGCTCTCCATCTCTGCATCTCACTGGCAGCGGGCAACCTCTCCCCCAGAAACTGTGGCCTTCAAGGGCCTGAGACGAGGGCCATCCTCCACTGAACTCGAGAGAAATTTACTGAATAATTTAAAAAACATTTGGGTTTACCTTTTAACCTGAGAAAGTCCATTATTTCTACTGAAATGCAGATGTTTCTGGGCTGTGTTGGATTTACCCTTTTTTAATGTACAAATAATGATTCCTTAAAAATGCCCGTTCCCTTAACAAGGCAAAAAAGAGCTCAAGATTCACGTGAAACTGAAAAGCCTCTGCCATTCAGAACCTTGGCAAAGGCACCTGTGCCGCCCCCACTCTCCCGCCCCACGGTGGGAGGGTAGTTGGTCTTCAGAGTGCGAGCACCCCTCCGGCCCTCCCCTGAATTCCCCGTATCTCCCCCCTCTTCTCCGCCCTCCGGTTTTTAATCCAGGGGTTTGAAAGGAGGGAGGGAACCAAACGGGAGCCAGATGTGTGCGAGTTCCGAGCTGCCGCCTCCTCCCTCCTCTCGGGCATCTTAAAACCCGGAGCGCTAACTAAGGAGGATCCGGAGTCAGATAGACACAGTGCAAACAACTCTGCTCCGGGGCTCCTCCGGGAGTGGGAGCCGGGAGGGAGGGGGAAAGGAAGCCGGGCATGCTCAGTAGGCGGGACAAAGTGTTTTTCTTCCTTTTTTCGGTCGCAAGTAGGAAGCTTTTGCACTCCACCACCTCTG